TGGGTTTGCACTAATTAATACCAGCTTACATACCTTTGTATAACTTATATATTGCACAAATACTCTATAACCTCCTAATCTTGTTGATGTCACCAAGATTACAGAGATTTAGTTTCAATCGATCATAGCTATTGTACAAGCAAAATATTTGAAATTTTGCCATTAGTGGATTTCAAACTTTACTTGCCAACATGCTGCTTGGATATGCGACAACTTAACCACTTCACTAAGTACCACACCCCTCTGCACACTTTATTAAGAAGCCTAACAAAAAAAAACAAATTGAAAAAAAACACAGAGATATAAAGAATAACAATAAAAGATACAAGCAAGAAGATAAAGAAAAATAAAATATTGAAACAAAAACAAAAAGAATAACTATTTTAATATTATATTTATAGATCCATAAAAGATTTTAAAAAATTACATACTAAGACTAAATAAATTGTATCTTTACTTTAAATTTATCTATTTAGTATATCTAAGTTTAAAATTCTATTAGAAAAATATTTCTTTAGCTAGATTAAATAGGAGGTTAGTACTTGATCCAAATTATTTTCAGAGCATTGTTTGATTAGTTTGTTACATTTAAAATATATGCTTTGATGTGTTTGTTGTCCTATTATACCAATTTAGAAGATAAACAATGCTAACTGTTTTAGTGCATATAATATCGATCTTTTGAAGGAAATAAATTAAATTGCACACTTTTTACAAAAATTTCTTCAAAAAAAAGTGGTGAGCTAACAGAAGTATGTAAAGTTCTTCTTGTAAGTTTTACAGTTATATAGTTTAGTTTTTTAGTTTCTATTAGATATTCTTGACTAGAGATTTATAGAAATATTGCTTTCAGAATAACCTTTTTGGATGCTAAAAGTATAAGAAAGTCTACTAAAAAGCTTGACTCAAAAGTACAATCCACTTGTTGTTATATGTTTGCTTCTTAGTATTTCACATATATAATAGTTTCATCGATAGTAAGTTTGTTTGTATAGACCAAAGTATTATTATGTTTACTTTGTTGCTTTTCTATAGCATTTTTCTGCAATTCAGTTTGTTTTGTTGTTAATCAAGAGATTGTTAGAAAGAGTTGTGTTATATTTTTGAAAGCTGTAAAATTTTTTTTTTTTTTTTTTTTTTATTATGCATCTAAGCGTACTTTATGTCCCCTTTGGCCAGGTATTCCTAGACACCTCGGAAATCTGTTGGTCTATTTTTATTTTTCCTATTTTTAGACTATCTGTACCTCCTTAATCCATACTCGGTCCCCTGGGTACACCTTCATTCGTCTCCCTGCCCGCCGGCGGTGTTTTCGGTTTTAGCCTCTGTCTGGTCCTTCTTCCAGTGATCTGTTCTGTGCTCTTCGATACTTCCTTTGCCGTTTTTGGTCCGTCTTGGGGTTTTGGTCATTCTTCCGTTTCGGGTATGGGCAGGGACCTCCCTGAGTGTCGAACCCTATGGTCTCTTTTCTTTCATTAGGTTGGTACGACTTGCCTTTTTTTTTTTTTTTTTTTGTTCTTAAACTGGATTTTTACTCAATTTTTGCGTCATTTGTTAACGGATTCGCCTTATCTGGTCATCCTCGACCTCGTGGTTATGCCGACGGACTGCATTCTGTACGTATGAATCCTGTTCCTTCTTTACATGGAAATTATCCTCAAAGATCCTTTCAGTCGTGGTCTTGACAGAGCCTTTATCCTCCAGTTAGATTCGAATCCGCAACCTTGCGACTGTGACCTGGAAGCGCGCTATCGACCCGCAGGTCGCTGTAAAATTTAAATAAAAAAGTTTATCAAATTTAATTTATTAATTATCAAGATATCTTTATTTAAAGTTTAAAAAACTCAAAATATCTACTAAAATAAAAACTATATTAAAATTTTTTTATATTTTGAACAAAGACATCTTGATAACTATCAAGTTAAATTTAATAAATTTTTTATATTCATTTGGAACAGGTAGACAAACTACATGAACTTTACAATTCTGCTATTAAAAATTAATAATTACAAATTATTAGTAAAGCTTATTTTTCATTTACCTATCAATTCTATAGAATATCTATTAATTTTACAAAGATATAGAATTTAAATAAAAAAATTTATTAAATTTGTCAAGATATCTTTATTTAAAGTTAAAAAAAAACTAATATAAATAACAAATTAGAAGTATAAATAACACTACTTTTTAGTCAAGTTAAAGCCCTAAGCCAGCATGTGAAAATAAGGTGATACTAAGTATCAGTGCTTAGATAAAAAAGGGTTGGTACATAGGTGCAGAAGGTTTAAATGAGTACCTTCTTAGTTGGGGTGTAGGTACAGCATTTAGTATAGAACCTAGTAATAGGTTGATACTTAAATAGGCACTCAAAAGGCACTGATATGGCTAGTTATACTCTATAAATATATACAGCTATCAGAATGTTCTGACAGTTAAAAATACTACTAATATTCAAATAAAGAGCAGCATGGCAAATAGGTCATCTTAAAACTAAAAAAAAACTTTTTAGTCAAGTTATGGATATAACATCTAGTATAAAATTTAGTAATAAGATTATTTAAATAAACAACCAAAAGTTGTATATAACTAGTTACTATATATTCTTCAAATATATATAATATAAAATTATACTATAAAGTTAAACTATAAATAAATAAAAAGAATATAAGCAGAAGGTTACTTTAACAATAAAAAAATAAAATAAATAACAGCTACTTTTAAAAAAAGTAAATTATAAGTATATTTATAATAAATCTTTAGACAAATTTGCCTAGAAAAATTTAAATTAAAGAATAATAATTTTTTAAACAAATTTGTTTAAAATTAACTTATATAATAATTTAAAAAATAATAAAACTTTTATAGTAAATAAACAATAACTAAAATTAATATATATACTATAGTATATACAACTAGCTATATTTATATTAAATTATATTATCAAAAGTTTTTAAAAATATTTTGGTAAGGGTATAATGACTTAGTGAAGTTGGTAAGTTGTCACACCCCAAGTAATAGGACTAGAGTTTGAATCTTATTGGTGATAAAATTCAAATTTACAAAATATATTTGAAAGACTATATTTTATTAGGTTAGCACCTGTAATGGAATCACACTAGCTTGTACTAGGAGGCAGTAGAATATTAATGTGACATATAAGTTATACAAAATCTAAGTAAAGCTGCTGAGTAAAACTAATAGATTGGAATATAAAAACCTGCTTGACAAGATCTGAATAAAGAAGTAGCATAAATCTTCAACAGTACTATATAAAAGATTATCATCCAAAAATAATGAGAACTGAATAGAACCAAAGTATTTGACAAAAGCATTTTATTAACCAGGTTGTGGAGGAGTAATTGAAGGAAAAGAATTTAACTGTAAAGACCAGAAGCAAATTACAGCTTATCTGAGCTAACTAGATTGATAATTTGGATAACAAGAATATAAAAGATAGTCTGTAAAGTGAATACTGAAATTTGAATAAACTTTGTAAAAGCACAAAGTAGGTAATGTTAATGGCTGCAAGTGCTTGTTTTCAGACTCAATATAAGTTATCAAAAACTTAGGTGATATATATATGGGATATGAATTACTCTAGTAAGTTTATTACAAAATCAAAAACCTCTATATGAAAATGTGTATCTGCTTTAAAGACTTAGCAGATCTTAGCAGCAGATTTTTCTTTAGACAAGATATCTAATAATATGAAGTTGATTAGAAAGTTTAAATAGAAAATCTATAGGTGAATCTCAGATATAACAAGTGATAAGTAACTATAGATAGAAATAGATATAATAAAACACAAATAAATAATAACTAAAATTATATGTATAACCAACTATACTTTCATTGATGTAACAAAATCAGGTGCAATTTATATAATTATGCTGGTATCAACTCTAAAGTTTAATAAACCATGCAAAACCTGTGAGTGTTTCTTTAATATTTAAAAAAAAAATTTTTTTGGTCTATACAATCAATAAAACTTATTAACAAAATAATTAGCTTTAATTAAAAAAAATAAACTTATTTCTTTTATAAACAAAATATTCTATAAAATAAGCAAACAATATAAAAAATAAACTTCATTAATAATTAGTAATCATTAATTTTTTAATAGCAAAGTTTACTTACCTATTTTATAAAACATTCAAATAACAAATCTTTAAAAATTATAATTCAATAATTAAATTTTAATAATTTTAGTTATATTAAAATTATTTTTATTAAACCATGATTAAATTAGTAAATCAAAAGTTATAAATAAATTATTGATAAATTTTAATGATTTTAATTGGTTAACGAATGTACCACGTGACTCGGAATTTTTTCAATACGCATTTTCAAGCTAAAAAATTGGGCGATTGACAAGACCAGACCAAATAAGCTCGAGGCTGTCGAAAATACAACAATACCTCTAAGTATCACCAGAAGAGAATAGATCAACAAAATTGGATGCAATTAGTAATAAGCAGACAATATCTGAATTTGATAGCGAATGACTATACATATCAAATGATAATAAACGTATTGTCACAAAAAGCCTTTTTGATCAGGTGCAGGTGAACGAAAGCTTAAGTGACAGCTAGAGTTGTTAATGGGTTGGGTTGATCAAATAATACCAAATTTATAGACATTCTTTCAGCTTGAGTTGGTTCAACCCGGAGTGGTACCAGAGTATAATGCACCATTAACAACCCTAGTGACAGCAATGATGAAGAACGTTCTGATGACATTATCAGACCGATAATATTTTGGAATGATACCCCGACTGGTTTCCAAACTTTAATTCTGTAAAAAATACATGTACGTAATTTTAGTATAATATAAAGATAACTGAAAACACAACTATTTACTTATTATTTTATTATTATTATTATTATTATTATTATTATTTATTACGATGCAATCTGATTTTATGGCAATAATGTTTTTACAAATTAGCGAAACTGCCATATCATTTGATTATTAAAAATAAATAACTTGTAAATAACATTTCACTTAGCTGCCTCTTGTATCTTTTCTATCAATATAATAGTATCCTCTTTACTATCTTCGATTACCCTTCCCTTTTGAGTTTTACATTCACCACCATCGCCAGTGATTCCACTATCCTTATTTCCGTTATTATTTTCATCATCTGTATGTCCAAAGATTTTTTGTCTTGCAGCGAAATATTCTGCTTCGCGATCAGCGAGTGATTTGATTTGCTTTGAATTTATCGAAAAACTGCCAGAATCACTGGTGAGAGTGGCATTAGAATTTAGTGATATCGGTAAATGAGAAGGATGTGTAGTGGTTGTAGATCCAGGATTCTTGGGACGTTTTAAAATTCGAAGCTGATTTTTCCCAATTAGTGATTGATCAGTATTAGGAAATACGATATTAATATCAAATATATTTTTATGAATAAAAAAAAACAAATCATATAAATAATTTTTTATACTTGTGGCACGTATTCTGTTCGGGTTGAATCTGTTCGAGTAATTTCTGGTTGCACGTAAGAATTTCTATCAATTGAAAGACAACTTAAATCAACTTGAAAACAAAATATAAAAATGGGGTTAAAGAACTTTTTTGCGTACGCTTCTTGCCATATTTGTTTATTTTTTTCGTGGTCATCGAGCGTCCCAACAGGTTTTGGCTCTAGCTAAAATAAGGTGTATAATTAGAATTTTGATGCATCCAAGACTTTGAACATTTTAAACATAAAACTACTAGAGTTCTTACACCGGCGTCGGCAGCTGCCTCCCAGTCGTCCCAAGGGTCGTCTGCCATTTTAAGATTAAATTAAGTTTTTTTTTTTTTTCAATACAGTACGTATAAAACAGTTCCTATATATCAATTGCTGCGCCAATTACATGAATTAATGGGGTATACTAGTTGCCTGGAAATTAGAGACTCGATTTAAAATTATTATCAAAACTAACCCTAAATTCTTAGCTATAAACAAAACACCCTAAAAAATTTAAATTTAAATTTCCCTTCAGCCGCGACACTAATTAATCAAAAATTGACGTGTCACACCAATCAAATGGCGAATTTATAGCTGACATCATAAATAAAGATGAACACAATCCCTTACACTGTCTGGTGTTATCGATTAGTTGCAACTAATCGACTACCGACTTCCCACTATCATAGTGCAGCTTAAAATGAATTGTAATATAGACTAACATAAGAAGTTCGTCTGATATGATTTAAACAACGGTATTACTGTACTAAAATTCATCATACAATACAATACAGCAACCTAGTCCCGACAAATAAATTTGACTAACTTCAAAAATATTGAAACCATTATCTTGATAAATAGCCGCTTAAAATATACTATATCGAAATATATATTAAGTCAATTTAGCCGCTCTATATGCTAAATTTGACCACTCTATATCTGATATATTAAAAAATTAATACGTAATTCAAATTTGGCCGTGCCATATACAGTCAGATCTTTTTAAATGTATAGCCAAGGGGTTGCATTTAGGGAGGCAAAATAGTGCATTGTATAAGGGGCTTTGAAGATAATGCCATATAGTATTATGTTTGTATTGTCTTTAAGATTCCTACGTATAACGATACTGATTTAACGTAAATTGTGGATGCCGCCTAAGTGTTATATGAGTTGGGGCCAAATAAGGCATTTAGAGAATATGCATTTAGAGAGGTCTGACTGTCTAAAAATTTAAATTTAAATTTGGCCGCTAAAAATTTTCATTTGTGGGACTAGGTTGTTCATACTGTAGGTAGGGTGTGAAATGGGCCAGTAAAACCCGGAAATTTGTGGGCCGGGTTGGGCTTGGGCTCACTTTGGGCTCACCTTTTTGAGCCCATGATTTTATAGGCCGGGCTTGGGTTAGACCCACTAACAATTGG